ACCCCTGTAGACGAAATCCATATATTTAGCTGAAATTTTTTAAAAGAATTTTTTTAGAGTTTGTTTCTTCGAAAACTGTGCATAAAATACGAAAATTTCGCTATAAAATGGTGTTGAAGGATAACTTTCGGGGGTATCTTTTACCCTGTAAATTGTTTATTCGGCAGAACAACAGTATACATGTGTTTTGCTTTTTTAAGCATCATAGAACATGAAATATCCAGCATAATTTGCGATTAACAACTGCTTATATTGTATTTACTGTATATAGTGAGTCCAAGAATATTTGAAGGTGAAATGGAGAATCGAGTCATCTGAACGGAAATAGTTACCAGATTTTAGGTTTTTTTGGATCGCTCATTCCGAATCTGAGCTCCATTTCACTCCAACGGGTCAATTAAAGTTAAGAGTCAAGGTCAAATGTGTTAATTTTGCATAAAATGTATTTTTTTCTGCTAATTCTGACTAGAAGGAAAATTCTACGTCCGTATATCTGTTTTATTTTTTTACCATGGTCATTGCAAGGTCACTTTATTTTATTATAAAGAGGTTTCATATGAAAATTTCAAAAAAACTAAAATGTGGCGTTCATGTGACTATATTACTGTATTAATATGTTTTGGTTGTCACCGAATCAAAATACAGAGTCCATTTGGCTCCATAGAGTTAAGTTTAGAATCAAGGTTAAATCGGATATTGAAGATCTAACCTATTCAAAATTTGACTATAACATATTTTGGTAGTTGTTGAATACGAAACTCATTTAAGCCGACAACTAGTGTTTGCTGATGAATGGTGGTTATTGTTTTCTTCATTTATAAAGTTTATTTTTATTACGAAATGATCTGTGAAGTAGATTTCTAGTTCTTTGCGAATTAATATTATTATTATCGCTTGGTACTTGATCTATCTTTAATAGTCAACAGTAGTCTCCCAATATATTCACGTTCCATTTCTCTTGCCATTTAAGATCAACTTTTTTCAGATTTTAATGGAAGCGTTCCCCTTACTCTTCGCTGTGATCTCCTAAGTTCTCAGGAAAATAGCTAACAAGAGAATCCATGAAATGGAGTTTGAGATTCATTAAATATCCTAATCGTCGATAGTTCCTCACCATATAAAATATCTTAATACGGTAGTCTAATCCAATGAATGCTACATATTCGTATTTTTGCAAATGTCATATGAACCCTATCATATAATAACATAAAATGACCTTGAAGTGATCTTGATAGTTATGATATAAAAAAAATGAAATAGATATCTGAACGTAAAATTTCCCGTTTTTTCAGAATCAGCAGTAAAAATTCAGTTTTTGTAAAATAAACACATTTGACCTTGACTTTCACCTTGATCTTGATCCGTCAGGGTCAAATGGACCCTGCATTCAGAATTAGTGACCCAAAAAAAACCGAAAACCTTGTAACTATATCCGTTCAAATGACTTTTATCTTCCTTTCACCTTCAAATGCCCTTGATTTAGATGTGCTGAGGTCTAATGAACGTCGGATTCATGTTCAGCTATCCAAAATACATAAAAATACATATGTTCCGTCCAAATATTAGAAAAATAGATTTTATGTGTTGGTGTAATTTTATCTTTCCCACTTCTACTCGTACTTCTACCACAATCATTTCCTCCATTTCTTCTTCTTCCTATTTCAGTTTTGTATATTTTCTTTTGTTTTTAATTGTCAATATGACTTCCCTCATTTCTTTTTCTCTCTCTTTCTCTTTCCTATCTCGAATCTTTCCATACTAATTAATAATTCTATAGTTGTCTCTCAATTGTTTTCTCCGTTTTTTTCCTTCTCATCCATGTTTCCGTCCGGGCTACAATTTTACGTTCTCCTATTTATCCCTAGTTCTTTTCTTTTAGTCTTTTTATTTCCGTAATATTCCAAAATAGTATTTTAGATCTCTTGTCTTCTTTCCCCTTTTTTTTTCGTCCAAAAGTTTCTTTCTCACCTATTTCTTAGTTTCTTTCCTTTTTCGCCCTATCCCCATCCTTCTTCTGATCTTTGTCCGCTGTGCCATTGTTTTATATTTCTTTTTCTTTTTCATTCAACACTATTATTATTAGTATTATTATTATTACTATTATTATTATTACTATTATTATTATTTCCATACCACCTCTTTTATCCTTCTTTACTTCCAAGTCCAGTCCTGATCTATGTATACTTTTTCCTGCTCTACATTATATTTTTTTTCTCATTATTCCTTCTTTTTTTTCTATGACTGTATTTGATTACCCTGATCTTTTTTCCTCTCCTTACTTTTTTATGTCCCCTTCCCTCTTAATATTTTTTTCTATGCGTCTGCCTTAATTTTCTCCCTTCTCTTCACTAACTTTCTCTCATTCTGTTTCGTTATATAACTCCCTCTTTTTTTGAACCTTCTATTTATCTTCTTTTTTATTTCTTTAACCGTTCTTTGTTTTTTCCTTTACTTTTTTTCTTTCTCTTTTCTACTTTTTCCTTCTTTTTATCTATTCCTTTTATCCCATTTTTTCTTTCTTACCCCTTTGCTTTTTTCCCTTTTCTCTCTCTAACATAACTCGACACAATGTATATTCCATCCATTGAAAACACGCCAGAAGACTCTAATTAGTACAAGCATTATAATTCCTAAATATTATTATATATAGTTTTTTATCATTATATTTAATATATTATTATAGTATAATATTTTATTAAGATGTATAATATAGTTCTTTACATTACATATTATGAGTAAACAAGGCTGCGTAATTAAAAATATTGTATGAAGTCTCTGGTTGATGTTAGGAACAATTCATTTCATAATTTGTGACAGGGGAATTTGGGGGGATAAAACCACCAACTGAAATTGTGTCACCTAATGGCTGTCGGCGACTTGTCTTCAATTTCGGGCATCAGACTACTATTCCTGGGGTTGCAGCAATCGTTGGGAGTCGAAGTCGGAAAAAGCGCAGGGACCTCTACCACAACGTTTATCGACTGCGACAGGAGTTAGAGATTCCCGGTGTTCAACGACCATTTTGTCCTTCACGAAATGGCGCGGTTGCTTCTCCAATACTTAACTATACTCCTTGCTTGTGTAATTCTAGTGTTGGCTTGGCTAGCTCTCGTCAGCATCTCTAAGTTTTAGGGCAGTGTGCGAGCGGAATTTTGACTAAACGGACAATTACTTCTGATACCTTAATTCATGCAGCGAGTCGGTTTCGTCTGAAGTCTCGAACCCACCTAAGAAGTCGTGAAGACCGTTAACTCGCGCAAGCACTTAAATCTCTAACTATGTCTGATTTTCCGAACTCGGCTGAAAATTAAATAACAGTATGCACAGGAAAGGTATGCGACTTAGGTCAGAGAGAAGAGTCAGTTAATTTTATACTCTTTATTACCTACTAAAGTACAATGTTTATTTTTACGGAAATGACGAAGGTCAGCGCGACGAACTCGCATTATATCTCGCTTATCAACGGATCCACACGACCCGATTTTATATACACGTAATTCCCTAACGCAACGCCCCCCAATTCATGTAAAAGTTACAGCAGCACTTTACCTTACTTTGCGTCGCATTCTCTCAAAACAAGTCTTTTGTTGTTCGGCTAGTCTATCAGCGGCTCGTTCTCCATAAAATTTGATCCGCACTCGGCTACGAACAATGGCAAAATAAATGAGCAGTTACTCTTTACGGTCAAGGATCTCTTGCTTCTTTTCTTTCCGAGAAGAAATCATTTTATTGGTCGATATGCTAATTCTGATATCGGTAGTGCCCTCCAAATATTCCAATCATTGGTCAATATGCAAATTAGAAAATTAGCAGCACCCTCATCTTTTTTCCTACCGCATCGCTATTTACCCCCCCCCCCCCCACTAAGTTGGTCAGCATTGATTAATGAGAGAGATCTATCCCTACTCTTATCTAATTTTCAGTGCGAACGGAAATCAATTTTATTCTAATTCGCCTATTGATCGTGATGTCACCAGCAGTTTCGTCAGAAGTTTAAATTTCATCAGTTAATTATGTTGATTTAATTTAACTGACTACTTGTCGTTTATGAATACGCCTATGGAATTGTAGCGGTCGCGTACATGTGTTTCCATTTTACCTTTTATACGTTACACATAATAAGTCGCATCCTTATTATCGCTAAGTAGTTTCCAGTATACATTATTCATTTCGCTTATTTCCATAATAGTCATCGGACAATTTTCATTTTCGTAGCGCCCTCATCATCGAGTTTACGTTTGAATTAAATCCTAACTTGCTCACTCTCATATGCTCTATCTCGCTTACTCCTGTTTAGTCTGTCTCACTTACTCCCGCGCAGTCTGTCTCGGTGCCTCAACATGAGCGCCTTCGCTCCCAAGTATCAATATCGTGTTTCGTTGCCGGTCTTTGGAGCACTTCCTGGAGCGCTCTCCCTGGGTCGTGTATCGCGTGTGTACATTCGGATGTTCATCAGTGGTCAACAGCAATGTGTATGCTGCTCAGGGTGTCGTCGATGGTGCGCAGCAGCCTGGCACAGCTGATTACCGGCCGCTGCTTCATCAACGATTTCCTGGTCACCCCAGGTGTGACAACTTTTCTAGAGTATCTGTGACCGTGCCCGATTGTGTAAGGTGTCCGTGGATTTCGTTCGTATGCATTTTTGTTGCATTTTCCGTCGAGATTCCGTGTTCTTTTCTCCAGTCGGCAACACGTGTCGGGAGTGTATGTGTGCATGCGCTCTCTTTCTTTTCGTCGTATGCTCTTTTTTTTGACCGTGCGCTCCATTTTTTTTCATCCGTCGGATCGTGCTATTTTATTTGTTGCGTCGTTTTCCCGAGCGTGGGCGGGCGTTACGATGAACTAGTTACGGGGCGGTATGGGACGGAGATGGTTTCTCTGAAGTGTTACAAGTAGTGCAACACTCTCACGCAAAGTCTTGTAATGTACCGCATTACAAATTTTTATTTATAAAATGAACATATTTTATTATTTAAGGAGAAATCATTGAATATACCGACCCTCTTTTGATCTCACATCTGCAAGCAGCTAAACATTGATCACAATTATGATGCTGTATTTGATGGTGGTGGCAGCCGTGATTGTTACAAAACGGTAAGGCTAGATCGGCTGGATGACTTTGTGATCGTTTAGGAACTGTTTTTGAAGTATAATGTACAGTGTCTATCAAACTGGAATGATCTGATGTATCAGTAAGACATGATTTATCTATAGAACTTGTATACTGCCTTTGTGCTGATAATCTAAAAATTTTTTATATAAATATATTAATAAAAATATTATTGGTACTTCTATAAAAGAATATTCATGAATAAATTGTTGTCAGATTAATGAGTATAAAAAAGAAGTAAATCTTAATTTTATAAATTAACTATGCCATATTAATCAAGGCGGTCATAAGTGGACTAATGATGCATAACATCGAAAAATGATCTATATAAAAGTTGTACAAAACGAAGAAGGTTATCTAACCATGATCGTGAAGTTAACCTGGAACTTGATTTTCAAGATCACTTGAGAGTCAATTTTCCAGATAACCATAATAATTTTATACGCATGTAGAGATAAGAAAAAAAAATAAATACATATCGCTATTTCTCGTTTCCTTAGCAATTAAACAAATGTTCAAATTTTTCTTTCTTAAAACAAAATCAGTTTGCTTAGTTGCTAAGAAGACAAAATTGTTATTACCATAGCAACGAGAGACAATAAAATGCCTCTTCTCGGCGCGCTGGCTCTCTTTCAATGCACATATGCGAGATAGCAGCGTCCTACTCTGATTATATTTAAATTCAAAAAATAAATTATTCTAAAGATTAATAGTATTTTATTTCTTGTCATAAAATTTTGGTGCCGAAACCCGGGAAAGAAAGTTTAAGTGTAGTTGTTATTTAAAATGGCCAGTATGGAGAGCCAACGTGTTGGAGATATGATAGACTACGAAGAGAAGCCCGATCGCGTTCACGACCAAGTCGGGGACATTTCAACTCCTGCCGCAGTTCGCAACGCGATTCCACATCGCACTGCTGTGCGCTCCTCTGTGCATGCACTTCACACACGAGGTGCTGCCCACGTCGAGCCACAGGCAGCACTGACGCAGCCATACGGGCTCCACGTCGGGCTGCACGACGTCAGCTCGCGAGTGATTACGGTGCTGCGCGGGCCGCTGCTCGTAGCCGTGGCGCCGTTGCTCCTGCCACCGCTGCTCGGGGTCGCAACGCAGCGACTCCTGCCACCGCTGTTCGAGGTCGCAACGCAACGACTCGTGCCACCACCGCTCGAGGCCGCCGAAGCCGCAATGCTGCTGCTTCTGCTTGAGACCGCAACGTCGCGGCCCATGCCGCCGCCCGAAGTTCGATGTCAACGTCGACGAAGAAATCATCCCAGAAGCTGACGAAAACTACGACCCGCTCATCAACGAACAAACGAGCGGTGATTCCGAAATCGGAAGCGCCGATTCCGATTCCGAGATCGAAAACGATAGTTTCAATGTTTAATTAGAGATAGGTTAAATCAAAAATATTTGAGTACCGATCCGATAAATCGATTAGCTAACATATTACAAAATTCACTTCCATTGCGAAATTCTTCATCATTAAGTGAAAATTCTACTTTGATCAGCAGAATGTCATCTACTAAATCTTTACCGGTTGTCAAAGGGAATCCTCTCGAATGGTTTCGATTTAAGAACGCGTTAGAGACATCGAAGACTACTGGAAATTACTCGGAAAAAGAAAACGTACTACGTTTTTCTGAGGTTTTAAAGGACGAAGTGTATGAAGCCGTAAAATCTCTCTTTATGTTGTGCCAAAATACTGTAGAAATAATGCAAACTTTAGAAATGCGTTTTAGCAATTCAAAATTAATCCTAGATAAATTAACCTCAGAAATACGTAATTTGCCAAATTTGAACGAGGATGAATCTGCCATTGTAGAATTTGCAACAAATTTAAAAAATACTGTGTCTGCAATCAAAACTTCGAATGATTGTCACAAGCACTTGCATAATCCTGAACTAATTGACGATGTTCATAAAAAGTTGCCCCGTTCACTTTTGCATTTACATACGATAAAATGCTTCTACGAGCAAAGATAAATCCGAATTAGAAAAGCTTGCTGAATTCATTTTTGAAAAAACAATTTTGAGAATCAATGCTAAAGTAATTCTAAAAAAATCGTTAGTTTCGCGTAACGAACGTCGTAATAATACTAAAAACATACTATTTACGGAAACAGGAAATAGTGAGGTCGATGAATCTCCCACAAAAAAACAAAAAAAAAGAAATTCTATGATACAATTGCAATCGTAAAAACCATTCCATTGATAATTGTCGCGACTTTGTGAATGAAAAATTACAACAAAAATGGAGAATAACGAGAACCGAGCGTTTGTTTTCTGTGTCTTCAAAAGGGTTATGCGCGAAATGATTGTCAATCAAAACAAAATTGTAATCGTTGTGGGCGAAATCACCATACATTATTACACTTTACACCTCGAGAAGACCTTTCTGAACAATCGGGAATTCATAAGGATGAATTAAAAGATAATAATTCGAATCAGGAAAAGCCTGTTAATAATATCACGAGTAATAACTTGTGACTATCTTCTTGTTCCTTATTAAAATGTGTACCATTTATAGTGTCGGTAAATGAGAAATCTGAATTAATTTAATTGACGACGGAGCGTCTGTGTCATTAATTGATTTATCCGTAGTAAAATGATTATGCATATCGAAAATAGAAACAAATATATATACAAAAGGAATTGCTGGCAAAAAGGCACTTTTAAAATCAAATAATAGAACTAATATTCATATCAAATTGATTCTGATTAATTCGAAATTAAAAATATCTTTGCAGTGGATCAAATTCCTTTATCTCGTCAAATAATTGATATTCAAATCGCAGGATTATGTAAAAAGCAAACGGATATTTACGTAGAGACATTCAATGCGATACCGTGTATGTTAATCGGACAAGACAATTGTAGATTAATAATAATTCGAGAAGTACGTGGAATATTCAGAGACGATTTAGTAGTTTCACGATGCTTATTAGGCTGGTCAATTCACGGTCATTTTGACAATTCTATGAAAGCGCAAGTTAATATGTGCGATACAAAATGAATTAGAATCTCTCCGAAAAAGTATTCATCTCGTAATGATAAAGAACTTCATGATTTAGTTAATAAATATTTTTCTCTCGAATCTATAGGTATAACTCATTACAAATGCGTTGATCCAAGTATATCGCGAGTAATTAATATATTAGATTCTACTAGTAATTTCATCAATGGTGCTTGGCAAGTACGACTACTTTGGAAGTCCGAGAAAACAAATTTTCCCGACGGAAAAGTTCACGCGTTATCTTGTTTGAATAAGCTTGAAAAAAAAAATTAGATCCCGCTAAAGTTATATTATAAAGGTATGGATAGGTTATTCAAATGTGATTTCGCTGAGTGGGTTACCGAAAAATCGACTAACAATCGAATATTTTATTTACCTCATTTCGGAGTCCAAAATGTAAATAAACCTGGGAAAATCCGACTTGTATATGACGCAGCCACGATATCTGAATCAATAAGCTTTAATGAACTTTTATTACCTGGTCCAGACTATTTAAAATCTTTACCTGGAGTCTTAATGCGTTTTCGCCAGTTCAAGATTGCAATAAAGTCCGATATTTAAGACATGTTTATGAAAATTTTTATCATTCCGTCTGATCGAGATGAGCAAGGATTTTTATGGCGCCGAGAAAATAGATCAATAAAATCTAGAATAGCAAGAATGCGCGTTGTATTGTTTGGTGCAAAATTATCCCCCAGTACCGCTATATATATAAAAAATAAGAATGTAATGAAATTTCAATCTCAATTTCCTGTAGCTGCGCAAAAATTAATTGAAAATTAGTACATAGATAATTATCTTGATAGTTTCGAATCGGTTGAAGAAGCAAGTGAAATAGCTCGTTAAATAATAATAATAATAAATAATGCTTTCTTTAAAATGCAAAGTTGGCCAAGTAACTGTAATTCGGCCTTATTAAATATTCATCCGTCAGATCGCACAAAACAAGATTTAAATGCTGTCGACAATGTAGAAAAGGTTTTGGGTTTGAAATGGTTAAGTTCATCAGATGTATTAACATTCAACTTTAATAGTAAGAAAATTTTACCCGAAATTCTACAGGGTTTAAAGAGACCGACAAAAAGAGAATTCTTCAGAATAATTATGTCAGTATATGATCCCTTAGGTTTTTTGTTGCCTTTTACTGTACAAGCGCGTTTCTTAATGCAAACTATTTGGGCTAGTAAAATTCATTGGGATGACTCGATTTTAGATAAAGAATTTTCTATTTGGAAGAAATGGCTGAACGAATTCCAAAATATGGAAAGTCGCTGGCTAATAGGGCTGCCATTTTTATGCGATTCAGAATTTGATTTGATTAATCAACGCATTTAAGTGGAAAACATTAACATCGAAGAAACAAAAAAAGAATTGATAAATAAAGACGAATTTATTATTCTAACAACAAATTTCATTCCCTTAACAGATTTCGAAAGATTTTCTTCATATATACGATTAATATTCTCATTAAGAAAAGTTTTGGAAGTAATTTCTATTATAAGAAAAATCAATTCCGCTAACGAATTCGAAACTCAACGTTTCGAGAAAGCTGAAAAAATCGCAATAAAAATTAGTCAACATATGTCGTTTCAAGCAGAGTTCGCTTCTTTAAAAAGTACTGGCGTCGTTCGCAATAATAGTAAAATATTAAATTTGACTCCTTACATAGATGAAGACTGTTTAATACGGCCGAAAGTAGAATTCAAACCACAATTGACAAAGAATATCGAATTAATCCAATAATAATATTTGACGGTAACAAAAGATTTTCAAAATTATTAATTTAGCATTTTCATTTACAATTGTTTCACACGAATCACGAAGCTGTAGTTAATGAAATTCGTCAAAAGTACGTTATAATAGGTTTGAGAGAAGTATTCAAAAGTATTGTTGCTAATTGTAATAAATGTCGATTATTGAGAGCAATTCCAAATCAACCGCGAATGGGAGCGTTACCCGAAGCTCAATTAGCTTATCGTTTAAAACATTTCAGTCACTGTGGCATGGATTATTTCGATCCTATGAAAGTAAAAATTGGTAGAAGAGTAGAAAAACGGTGGGGAGTAATGTTTACTTGCATGACAATAAGAGCGTTGTTACATTTAGAATTAGCACAT